TATTAGTATACAGTAAGTACTTACCTGATCTAGCCCTTGCTTTCTGTTTCCTCACTGCTGCTAAGTGGTTGCCTTTATTCTGTTACTTTTTATGAACTGCCAGCTCCAGTTCTGCTAATTCCCATATGGGACTTCTGTACCTTCTTTACAGGGAGAAGTCCTCCTTTTTGCCCCTTCCTCCCCTTTCACCACTTCACTTCCATCAGGGAGGTGGTTAGTACTTACCTCTGGTAGCTCTTTAAGGACCATGGACTCTTTGTGTCTGGAGCTAAAGTGTGACCTTTAGGTGGCAGAAAATTTTCTTTGTTCATATTCTTAAGTAACAAACTAGACTGCAAATGTGTCAAGTAGATGATTTGTCAGGTGAACAAATAAGTGGTTCCCAGTACATTGTTTGTAGAATTTGCAAAAGACATGTTAAATCTCCTATTTTAAAAAGGGACAGTTACAGCTTTTAAAATCAGAGATGATCCTGAAATGCTTATCTCTTTGAGAAGAAGATTTCCAGTAAATTGGAAACATCAGAAGCCCAACTATAACATGAGCTGTGTTGTCTGCATTTGGTGTGCCTTGACCAAAAGTGGTGACTGTGTCATTTAAGTGACTTCTGTTGCTAGAGTGGGAGAAAAAGGGTATGAAAGTAAGAGCTGACTCTTGGACAGATCAGTGAGAGTTGTACAAAATAAACAAACAAACAAAAAAAAAGTCTAGATTTATTTAGAGTATTGTGTTCAACCAATATTTTACTATACTGATACACTATACTGAACTGCCAATATTTGTAACGTAGTTTAATTCACTTGATTTAATGTAATTGAATTAACAGAAAAGGCAAATTGAAAAAAATTCTCAGACTGAGAAGTATTGGAAAGGGAAGTCATTACACTGTTTTTATGAAAGACCTAGTACTTCACAACATCCTGATACTAAAAAATAATGCTATGCAAAATTCAGTTACCCTGTTTCAAGTTAATAATCACAAGATGCAAACCCTTTAAACTGTGAGGCACTATTTTTCTGAATTACTATAATGGTTTAGGGACTACCATTAGTGCTAGATTTGTAGTTGGTAGCTTGAACTAGTCCTAAATGGCCATGGAAACCTGAAGGAGCTAAATGAAACTAAAGTTACCTCAAGAGTGAAATGATAAAATACATAGTTGTGCCACCTATGTGCATACTGAGCAATTGCCGTCATTTCCAGGTCTTGGAAAACTACTGTTAAAACCTTAATGGAAGCTATGTCTATGATAATTATCCCCACAACTTAATCTTGAATGTGCTGATACACAGTAAATTCATGTGGAGGTGTTGGAAATCCATACATCCATTTTTCAAACTCCTTCCAACTCCAAAGCAGTTTATGTTTACCTGTTGTTGCTGTTCATGCTCATTTCGCAAGTCAAATTCTGCCTGTTTGCACAACTTTTTGGCTTACATCATTCTTTATTACCCTGAAGTCTCAGTTACTCTTCAGGGATATTATACAAAGGTTATTCAAGGTATTATCATACTACAACATCTTCATCTTGGGATTGAGGAAAAAAAAGGGGGAGCAACAATTCCTTTAACTCCAGGGTTTTTCATGAGGATTATTACTGTTACACGACAGTATAAAATTCAGTGTGCATTAAAAAATAAGAGTTTTCAACCTTGTTTTTTATTGGATCATCAAGAGAAGAAAAGCACTTGACAAGAAAACACGTAAAATACGTTATTTATTTGCAGAGACCATGCTTCAGTTTTGTTAGTACTATATTTAATATGCTTCCAAGGCTAAATGTCTTAAAAATCCATGCTTTGCTCTTGCTTTAATAGCCACAATGCTGTGAGATGTCAGATGCCTCTTTTAGTAAGAGTTAGAGCAACAAAAGCTAATTGAAAGATTGTTTCATCCTAAAATAGGTGGTTAAAAAAAGTTGAATCGCATTTTTGGCTGAGACCAAAATGAGTATGTTAAAGGCTTAATGTTATGCCTGTCACACTACATCTGTGTCACTAAACTTGGTAGTGCCAGGAAATTTTCTGGGACACTGTAGCTCAGTCATCTGTACAGTTGGTTGTTAGAACAGTTGCTGGCACAGATTTTGGCCTGTTCAGGAGCTGGCAAGGTACCATTTCTGGTGGGCACTTTGAATGTGACCAGCATGTTAGGGAGTTCAGAAAGTAAATAACATTGATGTAATTGGTTCTTTGCAAGCTGGCCCCTCTCCCGGGGATCAGTCCTTGGGATTCTTGTTGCTAGGTACACAGGTGAAATTTCAGGTGAGATTTGATCCCTTCTGTGCACAATGAGAACTTCAGGAGCAAAGACATGGTCTCCAAACTTCAGGAGCAATCTAGAAACTTTTAAAAAATATTCCCTTGCATTGCTTCCATGCAGTCATCTGTAAATTACTAAATTGATAGGCTCTAAATTCCTATCAATAGCCACATTCAGCAACATTTTTTGTTAAGTATGCAGATTATAGATGGTGGTGAAGTACTAGCTGTGTGTCTTGGTTCAATCAATAGCTTTCTTTATTAAAAGCAGATGATGAGCATTTATTTTCATTTTTTGAAGTGCGGGAGTCTTGGAGTCCTTCCTCTGTATCTTTCCATGCACTGATTCCACATGTAAATTATTTATCTATTGTGTACCTATCAGTTAGACAGACACAATGTAGACTTAAAATACAGTTGAATTGAGAACCTAACCTTAAAAAAAATTGTTTAAGTTAACATGTTCCAATTTTAAAAATGGGTATGTGATTTAAAAATGGGTATGTGATTTAAAGTGGATAAAGATGTTTCCCTTGAACTCTGTTTGGTAACAGAACTAATAACCCTAAGGAGCTCTTAATGGGAAACCTCAAAGAAAGAAAAAAGATCTCCAAGCAAGACTACACGGTAATATTCCTAATGCAGAGGCTAGCCAGCACTTTGGCTTTCTCATATAAGTATCATAAATTGAAAAAAAACTACAAATTTATTTTTAAGTGTCTTTCTTGTAGAGGAAAATTTCAATATTTTGTATTTATTTATAGCACACACATGGTGTACCAATGTCCCACCAAAAATGGATCAGACTGATTCTTCCAAGAGTCCTTTCTGTGCTGTGTGGTTTAATGCCACACAGCTCTTCACTGCATTGTTTGGAGTGTTTTTACCTTCAGCAATGCTCATGCCATTTAGTAGTTGGTGGTGTTTTCAGTGTATGCCATGATTTTGTATGTGGTGTCTGCATTTCACTCATGTTTTACTGCCTGTTTTTATTCTGGTGTTCAACTGTGATGTTTGATACAGTTTGTTCTCAAGCTTTTTTTGAGAATCACTGTGCATGCAGCAGTTTCACGTACTGAGTGATCAATCTCACAGGTTATATGACTGAGGAGCAGCTGCACTGATACACTGATTCACATCTACATGAAGTCATGTAGTCTCAAAACTTCCACAACAACTGCAGATCTGGATTTTCTCTTTAGAGCCCTCTACAAATAGCAGAAACTTATGTGAACAGAGACTTAACAAAGAGGTGACTTTGTAAAAGGGCTGCAAATCATTCTGTCTGGAGGAGGAAGTGTTTGTATTCATTATGGTGTTGAAGTGCTATCACCTGGCCAGGCTAACAGACCAAGAGACACAGCATAGTTTGCCACAAGAGTCTGGTCATTCAGACACTTTGGATCCCACCTTCAAATAGCTCACAATTTTTATTTGGAGTTACAAGATGTAAAATAAAGTACTGTCACAAGCTACATTTACAGGCCCAGTAGATGGTGCAAAATCTCTAATGCTGCAGTTTGATAATTCCATTGAACATTTGACTTGAAGATTTTCCTCAATAAAGCATGAGAGAAACCTTGTGAGCTGCACCCCAGTAGGAGATGACATGCCAATAAGTGCTTGAGCACTTCAGCTGTCAAGTGTCTGTTGGAGTTAGATGTAATGTCAAATGATTGCTTGATTTTCTTATAATTCTGGGAGTGGAGTACTTCAGCATTTGTATATAAAGCAGAGTTTTTGTGGTTGAAGCCCAAGCTCCTATTCTCCAAGACAAGTTTTTAATAGGATACTTGAGAAATACATGTAATAGTTAATTTTTGCAGGTGTATTATTTCCAGCAATAAAAGTGTATAAAATCCTGCAGTCTCCTTGTGCAGAATCACAACTGAGAATGTAAAAACAATTTCCATGCTGTGTGGATTTCAATGTTCTCTTTTTTATATTGAATTTTCAGTGACAGTTAACTGCTGTATGTGCTCAGACCCTTGTGCCATTTCTGTCAACAGGGCATAAACAAAAGCTCAAGTTGGAGAGACATAAATATTGTTCCTAATGGTGTTCAGGCAGTTAAGTAGTCACCTCCTGTAGAAGTTTTGGGGATCAAAAAGTATGTTGAACAATTCCAAATTAAAAGCTGTAAACACTTGAACAAGAACAAATGAAAAGTAGAAACTGTAATAAACAGCCACAGTTGGAAACGGTAGTATGTAGATCCAGCCTGATCCCTTACTTGTAATAGAGGTAGATATAAAATGTCCTTTTACCTTTAATAGCAGTATTTTAACTAATGATCTCATCAACATTGTTGCCAAGGAATCAAAGTACTAAGGTGTCAGGGATTAATGGCAGTGGTATAACTATTTAGGTATTATAAGGTATTTCTTTCCCTGGATTTAAATACCAGGGAAAATACTTTCAAGCACAGGTGTACAAATAAGCAGAGAAATATAGTTGCTGGAAATTAGTTTCTGTCAGATCCTGTGAATATCAGAGTAAGACAAAAAATACTTGAAAACTTACCTCACTCTTCATTTCACAACCCATTATCGTGATCCTTGCAACTTATTCTTGAGAGATGTTTTATTCTTTTGGGCGGTGCTTCCAACAGCTGCCAAAAGAATGTGAATTCTGCCTTTGAAATAAATGACAGAATATTTCACAGTAATTCTAACTCTTTGTAACCTACAGCAGTTTTAATGGTGCTGTACAAGACTACTCAGGTAACTACTGAATAAAGGTGCTACTTTCCCATTCAGTCTTTTGAGAATACAAACCAATAGGTAAAAAAGACCAGAGGCAAATTTCATTAAGAAGTCATTCTTACTTGTGATTTTGAAAAAGTTACCAAGGAATGTGATGTGTTTGTTCATTACCTGCATTTGGCCCTGGAAGACTGGGCATGGCTGCTGAGATCAGTGGCAGTGCTGAGATCAGGGTTGTGTTTAAGAGATTAGGGATAGACTTAGGTTCTTTCAGACCTTAAAAAGTCTTGAAATCCTTGCAGTTTTCTCTCTCACACACACACACAAACACACACATAGCAACAGTACTTTACAAAATACTGATAAGGCAAGGTCTGCTTTCTGTGTGCCAGGAGAGGTTCTGGAGTGATGGATGAAAATGTACCCATTCAGTGCATTGATTTGTGTTTCACTCCAGTGTGCTAGATTCCAGCCTCATTTAAAACTGGGAAAGTATTCCCTACTGCAGTGAAGCCAGAAATTCATTCAGCCTCTCAAGCTGTATCTACTTTATTAATGGTGCTTCTTTTTGTCATACCTGTATTTTCATGTACAGGTCAGGGAGAGGGAAGAGAAAGCAGGTGTGCTAAAACACCCCCAGTGTTACTGTAAGGGAAACCACAAGCTGCTAGCTAGAGCAGCCAACACCGCCGGGCTGCTTACTTCCACAATCATAAGGCAGGCCTAAAGAGCTGAACTCATTCCTTTTTAAAAAAGAATAGATGTATTTTCTTAAAACACTGTTCTATAGTGTATAGTGATTTCTGTTGCCAGAATTCACGACTAATAAACATTGAATTAACAGCTGAAGTGGAAGGAAGACGGCTGGTGTGGCATCTGCTTGCTCTGCTGCCAGTATATAGGTTGGATAGGCTGAGGAGCACAGGGACAGTCTGTTGTGTTAACACGGTCTCTTGTCCTATTCATGTGTTTCTGGGTGTCATTCTGAGTCCTAATGGTTACAGCAGCCCTAAATGTTCCTGCAGAGTGCACTGGCTTTCAAGAAACAGCTCTTTCAACGGGCAGTCTGTTTGTAGGCAATCTCCAGCAGCAATCTTCTGTGTGTTTTAAATAGCCGTGTGTCTTGTTTTGCTTTCCAGTAGAGCTTTTAGATGTATATTTTCAAGCCAACGTGTAAGTAACGGAGGCAGCGGCAGGCCGCGCTCCCTTGGCAGAGCGAGAGAGATGCTTTCCGCCCGGCAGCAATAGCCGCTTCTCCTATTTCCCCCGCCGGGGATACCGGAGCGACAGACGCCCGCCGGCCCGACCTTCCCCGCTTGGCGCGGGCTCCGGAGGGGCAGCAGCAGCGGGCGGTGCGAGGAGCCTCTGCAGCCGCCCCCGGCTGCCCCCGCCCGCCGGGGTCGGTGGCCGCGCTCACGG